ATCATTAAGTAGTTTTCTTCACGAAAGAGATTTTGTAAAATAAATAATTTGATTACGTAGCGGTAAATTAATCAAACAAATCGCAAGTTCACTTCAAACTACAATTGTTAGAGTAAAATATTTATAACAATTATCCGTCCTTACAGAAATGTAAGAGTGCAGGGTTGAATTATCCTTATTATTACACCAACAACAACAGCACACCAATGTACATATGTATATATACTTACTGATAACAAGTCTAAAACAAGAAAGTGTACAAACATTTACTGGTATGTGTATTATCATAATCATTGACCACACTGATAACTAATCAACAAGGCTAAACTTCTGGATGTACCACACAGACAGGGAAAATTCATAATTGATTTCTTTAGACCATTTTAGAGTCAATCTCTTTTCAGTAAATTTTGAAGGGCTAAACTGAATGCTTTAAAAGTCATATGTAAAGCATTTGGGAAACTTAAGGATCCCTGTCCCCCTGATCTGTGATTTGATTGTATGTAGTAACCTCCCATTAATTTTGTTTTGGATATAACTGTAGCACAGCTGAGCCAGGGCAGTTCTGTTGACCAGGTAAAGTAGCCCAGTCAGTAAAATCAATATATGACAATCTGAAGTCAGTGGTTTGAATCCCAGTGTAGCCCATTGAATTTTAAAACTCAGAACACTCAGATGTTTTTTCACCATAAAAGTCCCGTAAGGAATGGTTTCTTTAAGAAACAATTGATCAAAGCTACAATCAAATACTAAACAAGACGCTGTCATCAATATCCCCCACTCGCATTACAAAAGTCATTAAAAACATAAGCGTAAAATATAGATCAAACTCAGCATCAGCAATATGGATTTAAAAGAGCAACCCTAGATGCACAATTGATGCAAGTATAATCAACATAGCACTTGTAGTAGACAAGATATAGATGAGCAACCCCATTTTTATATCACCAGCTCAACGAGTCGGCGGGGGATAAAATTAAGAGTGGCTACAGTTTTTGGATGTGGGCGGATTGGACGAGTGGTTTAACACTTCGGCCTTCCATGCAGGGGGCTGGGGTTCGATCCCCGAAGTCGTCGCACGCATGGAATATCAGAGAAAGTGTTTTTCTCCTGCCCACACAACTCCAACAGCTCAGGTGGAGTATAAAATGGTCTGGGGTGGACGTTGCGGTATCTGTGATGTAGCATTCAAGTGAGGTGGCACTATAAAAGATGCCGTTGGAAGCATGGTCCAACTACAAACAGAACACAAGACATCTCCAGCACACACGCAGGCATACACACATAGGGAGATATTAGCCAGGTGGCATAGGACTAGTAATTAGTGCCTGATAAGGCAGCTCCTGCGAATTCCTCAAAAATTGTATAGCCTAATTGTATTAATTGTATATCTATGTACTGTAAAGCACTTTAGCGTGGTTTATGTTAGCTAGATAGGGCGCTATATCAAATGTTGTATATTATATATATTATGGTACGGGGATCTTCTTCTTCTTCCTTTAATGGAGAATACTCTATCTAGAGTGTTGAGTTCTCCAGCGCGACTTATGCCTACCGCAGCTAAAACTTCCGTATGTACAGTTTAAAAGAGGTAAAAATAGTGGGGTCTACATAGCGTATTGGTGGCCGGCTGCCTCGTACTGTACGAGGGCGTGCCTGAAGCTGTCCAGGGTGGGAGACGATCGTATGTCGTGTGGGATTGCATTCCATGTGATGATGATACGTGGTACAATCGAGTATCGGTATGTGTCGAGCTTTGCTGGAATTTGCCGTATGTTGTTAGCAGTAGCTCCTCTGGTTCTTCCTGATGTTACGGTAATGTCCTGATGTATTGGTACCTCAACCAGATTGTTGATAATTTTGTAGAACATGAGCGTCCTGGTTCTGGCTCTTCGTTGCTCTAGTGGCTCCCAAGCTAGTTGACGCAGCATGTTTGAGACACATCCTGGTTCCCTGTTAAAGTACTCCCCTGTGGCGAATCTGGCAGCTTGTCGCTGGACTCTCAAGTTGGTCCTTCTGTTGTTGAAGATGGGGATCCCAGACAGTGGAGGCATACTCAAGTACGGGCCTAACGAGAGTAGTATAAGCCTGGGCCTTGACTTCTCTGGTGCATCCCCTAAGGTTTCGCCGAAGGAATCCAACTGATCTTGCAGCCTTGGCAGAGGTTTGGTTTATGTGCTCACGCCAGGAGAAATCCAAGCTGATATAGGCTCCAAGGTATTTGCTTCCGGGGACAGTCTCTAGGGTTTGGCCGTGGAGTTGGTAGTCGGTGTGGATAGGGTTTCTTTTCCTGGAAATGTTGATTGTGATACACCTGTCCGGGTGAAACAACATCTGCCAGTCTCGCTCCCACTTTTGCAAGGCATTGAGGTCGTCCTGTAAGATGGCAGTATCCTCACTCATGTTGATGATGCGATATATGGCGCAGTCGTCAGCAAAGAGTCTGACTGGAGACTGTACGACATCTGGTAGGTCGTTTATAAAGGCCAAAAACAACCGATCCTTGGGGGACTCCTGAAATCTACTGATGCCTCTGAAGATGTTGACCCTTCCACTAACACTCTCTGTGTCCTGTTGCTTAGGAAGCTGCTTATCCATTCTAATGTGTTGTCGCGGACCCCGTAGTAGGCTAGCTTGTGGAGTAAGCATTGGTGAGGCACCTTGTCAAAGGCTTTGGAGAAATCCAAGAGGATGACGTCAATTTGTGTGCCTTTGGCAAGGCCCTTTGCAAGCTCGTGCACAATGTAGATAAGCTGCGACTCGCATGAGCGCCTACTGCGGAATCCGTGTTGGGCTTCTGTCAAGATGGAAAGATGGTTTAAGTGACGTATAATGATGGAGTGCAGGATATGTTCCTGGATCTTGGAACATATGGCAGTAAGGGAGACCGGTCTGTAATTGGAGGCCTTGCTCTTGTCGTCTTTCTTGAAGATAGGAACCACTTGCGCCTTTTTAATCTTTTTGATCATTAACACAATGTAGTGTTAGCATATTGGATGAGTTACAGAAATGTTTTCCTCAAAGTATTTAATTCAAATGGTTATTCACTTAAGGTAAAGGGTACCACTGCAAGAGTTTCTGCGCATTTATAATTCCTTGACAGCAATATTGGATGAGTATATGATTGCCAGTGAACAGCTGTAGAATTTGACCCTTTTAGTTTTTGTATATTTTCACTTTACCAACTCATAACAATTAGTTTTTATGCACTTCCTAGTGAGAATATAGGAAAAAATGTAGTTCCTGAACTCGAGGCTACTGGGTGCACCTACATGGATAAAGTTTCTTAAATGCAGGTTCCAACTAGAACTGTCAACCAGAGGATAACTAATACGCCCTGCAGACACTGGTAGTTTATACATCATTATAATTAGTGACCTTGACCCTTGGGTTTCTGGATAAGATATTTCGTATAAGGGCTGTAACTCCCTTAAAAAGTGTAGAAATCTCCAAGTAACATGCTGGTGCATATCTACATAATATACTGATCGTCCAAGTGAAGATTCAATAAAATCTGCCAGTTAGATAAGACTGGGTTTTCTGGACAAGTTACTGCAGAAGACAGATATCTAGACAGACAGGGTGATTCCAGTATACCCCTAGCTCCCCCCCCTTAAATTTAGTTACAGCTGGGCCTCGGGTAAAAATAGGACACTTGCTTCTCTTATTACTGAGAGTGCATGCGCATAACAAATCAGTTCAGGGTAAGAAAATTCTATATATGTATCTTACAGCCCATTTCATGTGCGTGATGTCCCAATGGGACAACAATGACATACTGTCACGGAACCAGAACATTCCGACGCTGCGATGTGGAAATTACAATGCTTATTTTGGTTTCTGAGCTAATTCTAATTATTGGATAGAGAGAAAAAACTCTTTCGTACCCAGGGGAGTAGGAGGGGGAAATTTAGTCCTCAGGATTTTCAAATTGGTGCGAAGAAACCTCGGCATAGCCTCAGGTTTTACCCATATTGAAAAGGCCTTGGTTGGAATTTCCCCCTCCTACATCCTTCTACATGAAAGAGTCTTGCATCTGTTACCTAATCTGTAATAATGGACCAGCTGTGGATCCTGAGGGATGCATCAATTAAGCGTCAATTATTTAACTCATTCCCACATTAAATATTGATCAGTTAGCTATAGATATAATAAAAGACAGATGGCATACTGTACAATGGGTTTACCTGTAATCTAATTATTCAGTAATGTAGTGCGATACTGAACTATCAAGGAGGACGAAGTTTCAGAAGGACAAAGCCATAAAATCAATAGAGCCTAAATTAATATTTGAAAACAAATTTCACTGTGGTATGTTTATTATGTACTGAAACCTTTCGTTGGTTTAGCATGTGAGGAAATATGTTGTAAATTGCAGTTTTGTTTTATATCATCTGACATATTACATTTTTAAATCACTTACCAGCAAGGCAGCCAACCTGGCAATATTGGTCATTTGTTTAAATTCATTGACCGAGAGAACAATTATATCTCCATGCCTGGCATGGTTGAATAGGTGGTCAACCATTGAGCCTAGGGAAATTGGAGCATCATGGCTTTGTTTGATTGTTTGGGTTTTACATCCTATTTACAGCTATGGTCATTGGAGGAAGTGCCAGGTTTTGGTGGTTTAGACAGGTGGTCTCTTAAGACAGGAAGTCACTTAAAACATGAAGTCACTTTAGACAGGTGGTCACTTAAAACAGGTAGTTGCTTAAACCTGTAGATTATTCCATGAACAGGTTAAATTTGACTTTAAACTTTGTGAAGTACACAATTAGTTCACAAATTGTCTTGATGAAGAACACAAAAATTAAGCATAGTCTTCGTGTGGTGCGAACTCCAACAACACCTTTAGCCTTGAGGTCTAGCAAAATACTTATTGATGTCAACCCAAGTCAATATAATAAAGTGTATAAATATTAATTATCAATATATTGAAAATAGCAATATACAGTATTCACATGTACAAACAAAATTCTTCGTCAAGGTATACTCACACAATGAAGTAAGTGAGGAACGGTATCGGTGATATGTCTCCTGTCGATCCTTTCTTGATAATTCTCATACACACCTCACTGCAATAAAAAGAAATTTTCTTATAAGAATTATCCTCAAAGAAGTGCACCATTCCACAAGTACGATGCCTTGGGCTAGGTAGTATATTTTAAGTTTGGGCTAGCAGAATTTTTTTAAACTTTGTATACATAAATCATGCTCGTAAGATTTTTAAAATTCTGTCTCCAGGCTAGTACTTTAGGTATGAAGTTGTGCACTCCTGTATTTGACTTAAATTAATAGTTTGGCAGTAGATATGCAAAAGTATTCAAGATTTTTTCCAGTGTTCTTCAAGGTCAGATAAGAGTCCTATACCCAATATACAAGAGTTATATTATAGGTACTGGTGGCTTTATTTTATTGTTTAGATGTGATGTGGAAATCAGCATGTAAATTAAGTGAAATACAAATATACTTGTCATGTCATCAAAGGATAAGATTTTTGAAATATTGGTAAATGTTCCCGTTGGGGCCCTGTCCTAGCCCTTGGGGATGGGGCAGGAATTCTGCTGAAAATGAATAAAATATACCCAAAAGTGTTGTTTCCCTATAAAAATTATAGTAAACTTTACCCCCTTCCCAAGGGAGAACGGATAGCTTAGGGGTCCTGAAATTTACAAGTTAAATAAAGTCCCTGATGATCTTTCCATCCATGCAGAGAAAATGATTGTATTATCTCTGAGTCTGGAGAAGAAGATTTTTGAAATATTGGTTAATTTTCCCTTTGGGGCCTGCCCTGGCCCCTAGGGTGGGGGTAGGAATCCCAATTTTACATTTTAAAACCATCTTCCTCCAAGAATAGTTCTCACCAAGTAAGAATAGTTTCCTACAGAAAATTGTCAAAATATACCCAAAAGTGTTGTTTCCCTATACAAGAGGCCCAGAGGGCCTGTATCGCTCACCTGGAATATCTAAGCAATCATGGCAAAATATTCTCCAAATGAGATCCAAGGGAATATGCCAAACCCGAAGGCCAATCCTTGTAGCATATCTGTATTAGATTGTTCATGCCCAGCAATTTTACGTATGGTTATTGGGTGGGGATCTCAACTGTTTCCAAGCTGTGACTCAGAAACTAGGTCCCTAGGGTTTTGGCTAGACCCCAGGATCAATTCTAATATCATGACTGCATTTGTCTCTTTTTGCCCAGCATTTGTATATATAGTTTTGGGGTGGGGATCTCAACCCTTTCAAAGTTATGACCCAGGGATTAAGTCTGCAAGGATGGGGCAGACCCTGGGGTCAATTCTAATATCATGAATGCATTTGTCTCTTTATGCCATGCAACAATTGTATATATAGTTTTGGGGTGGGGATCTTAAACCATTTTGAGGTTAAGTATCCAAGGGTGGGGTAGTCCCCAAAGCCATCCTGGAAGCATATGTGCATTCATCTCTTTATACTCAGCAATTGTATATATAGTTATAGGGTGGTGACCTCAACTGTTTCCAAGCTGTGACTAAGAAACTAGGTCCCTAGGGGTTCGGTCAGACCCCAGGGTCTATTCTAATATCATGCATGACTGCATTCGTCTCTTTATGCCCAGCATTTGTATATATATATAGTTTTGGGGCGGGGATCTCAACCGTTTTAAAGTTATGGCCCAGGGACTATGTCTCCAAGGCTGGGGCCAGACCCTAGGGCAAAGGTGCATTCTTCTCTATATATACTCAGCAATTGTATATATGGTTATATGGTGGGGATCTCAACCATTTCCAAGTAATAAAACTTATTTTGGCCCCACCCCTTAGCCCGGGGGGTCAGTCCCACTATTTGTACAATTTTGAATCCCTGTCTCCCATGAATGCTTCCGACCAAATATGATTGATATCCATGGCATAGTTCTACAGAAGTCGTTTATAGCAATATAGCCAAACTGCCCCGTTTTGGCCCCGCCATCAGCTGTTTTTTGAGTGAGATTGTGAGATTTTCACCAGATGTAGACAGGACCATTTTCCAACACTTATCAGGTCTTTCAGGCTGCTTTTTTTTAAAAAACTTATGCAAGTATAATCAAATAACGATGAAAAAATGAACATCGAAATTTTTTGGAAAATAAAAATATAAATAAAATGGTGGGTGAATGATCAGGCGTATTAGGGGATGTCTGGAACCATTACATCTTTCAACAATGGAACTTAATTTAATGTACATGAACCAAATTTATCACACTGTTACAGATATTTTCTTATATTAATATAAAATAAAATACACAGTTTAGATATCTCCTTTTAAATATGAAAGGGAAGATTACATATAAAAATCTGTAGCAAAAGATGTCAAATGACATCAGCATGCAATCATTATCTACCTTTTTGGAAATTCACTTGTTATATTTGTTTAAAGCATACAATCCAACAGGTAGGGCTACTAAACACTGTAGTAATTTGTGTTTCATTCTCAAGCAAGACAGTGCGACATTTTCGTAAATTTAGATCTCTATATATATACACTCATTGGACAATTAATAAACATGGTCTTAATTTGTATCGAACATCACAATTTTTTATAAGCTTGTAGTAAGTTGTATAAACTTTGTGCAAATTTTGACAAATATTTCATCCAACTTGGCAATAGAAAGCACTGTTGTAATTTTCATTCTCTCCAACTAGCTCAACTTGGCCATTGAAAAGCATTTGTAGTAATTTTCGTTCTTTTCTACTCGAGTATTTTAACGATGATAAGTCCAGGGGTCTGGGCATGAACATATGTCAAACTAAGGTAGGGGGATGGATTTATTACTGGACACCCATCCTATGCATGGATGGAAAGAAAAAGCGGAGGCTTATTACCATACGTGGGCTTATTACCATGCGTGGGCTTATACCAGGCGTGGGCTTAATACCAGACGTGGGCTTATTACCAGACTTGGGCTTATTACCAGACTTGGGCTTATTTCCAGGCGTGGACTTATTACCAGGCGTTGGGTTATTACCAGGCGTGGGGTTATTACCAGACATGGGCTTATTACCTGGCGTGGGCTAATTACAAGACGTGGGCTTATTACCTGGTATGGGCTTATTACAAGGCGTGAGCTTATTACCTGGCATGAGCTTATTACCAGGCGTGGACTTATTACCAGACATGGGCTTATTACCAGACATGGGCTTATTACCAGACATGGACTTACTACAAGGCATGGGCTTATTACAAGGCGTGGGCTTATTACCTGGCGTGGGCTTATTACCTGGCGTGGGCTTATTACCTGGCGTGGGCTTATTACCAGGACGTGGGCTTATTACAAGGCGTGGGCTTATTACCAGGCGTGGACGTATTGCCAGGCGTGAGCTTATTACCAGACATGGGCTTATTACCAGACATGGGCTTATTACCAGACATGGGCTTATTACCAGACATGGGCTTATTACCAGACATGGGCTTATTACCAGACATGGGCTTATTACCAGACATGGGCTTATTACCAGACATGGACTTATTACCAGACATGGGCTTATTACCAGACATGGGCTTATTACCAGACATGGACTTATTACCAGACATGGGCTTATTACCAGACATGGGCTTATTACCAGACATGGACTTATTACCAGACATGGGCTTATTACCAGACATGGGCTTATTACCAGACATGGACTTATTACCAGACATGGGCTTATTACCAGACATGGGCTTATTACCAGACATGGACTTATTACCAGACATGGGCTTTTTACCAGACATGGGCTTTTTACCAGACATGGACTTATTACCAGACATGGGCTTATTACCAGACATGGGCTTATTACCAGACATGTGCTTATTACCAGACATGGACTTATTACAAGGCGTGGGCTTATTGCTTGGCGTGGGCTTATTACCAGGATGTGGGCTTATTACAAGGCATGTGCTTATTACAAGATGTGGGCTTATTACCTGGTTTGGGCTTATAACAAGGCATGGGCTTATTACCAGGACGTGGGCTTATTACCTGGCGTCAGCTTATTACAAGACATGGGCTTATTACCTGGTGTGGGCTTATTACCAGGACATGGGCTTATTACCTGGTATGGGCTTATTACAAGGCGTGAGCTTATTACAAGGTGTGGGCTTATTACCTGGCGTGGGCTTATCACTGGTAAAATACTGTGGCTGATCTATTAAACATTGATCAAACTGTTACAGATCTAAGACAATATAAACATTGTAGTAAGGTATACATACATTCCCACTAACTGGACAATTACAGAGGTGGTGAAGGCCATCCAGCCAACCACTTCTGTGAACTCCATTGAACATCAGATCACTGAAAAATAAAGAATAAAATTAAATGTTTGAAGCAAGATCGTAAAATCATACAGAACAAACTTTCCCAATGGAAAATGACCTCCATTATTCTTTAGTTTGAATCCTTCTCCTAACAAAAATATGTTTTGATCCTGATATGTAATATACAAATGAATAGATTCGTCACTAACATTTTTTTTGACTGTAATCTTGACCAACCTGGACTGTTACCAGGATGTTTGCAAATATAACACTTTCATATTTAAAACAAATGTCTCCATGGAATTGAATATTCTTTCTTTTGTTGTATGCATATTTTGTTTATGTCAGTCTAGAGATAAGGATGCCAAACATATATAACATGCATATGGTAATCTACGGTAGTTTCTACAGTACCAATTATACATGAACGTCATCGACTATACTGCATTTCAAGGACAAGATATCCACCCCTAAACCAAATCACCTTGACAATATTTACATATAAATATATTTTTGTTATCTTTGTTTCCACTGGGATTCAATGAGTCCAACCAAACTGTAATCTTTTATTCATAATAATAAGAATAAACGTTTTATAATCAACCTATGCAAATTGATCTGCAATTTATAATGTAAGGATTGGGTAGCCCGAGTTTCCTCTGAATCTAACACCAGACTCAAACATTTTTACAGATAAATGTCTGGTAAGGGCCCACATACACCAGACATAAAAAAAAAGATGTGCATTAATTGATTAGGTTGCATTACAAGCGTCAGCTGTAGGGAGTTTCCCTCTAGCTCAGTGGTAGAGCATCAGGCTTTCTTTATCACTGTTCCTCGTCCTACTTCAATTATGTTCCTGATATTCCTGATGTATATTCAATCCTAATTTAATCTTTAATACCAAAAACTGAGCGGGAAGGTTAAGCCTACTTAACCAAGGCGGAAACAAACCCTGGACAAACCACAGGAGGGAGTCAGTGTAATCCGGTACATTAAATCAGGATATTGGTGCCGTTGACCCTCCCCGTTCAATGTAATAGAACCCTTGGGGTGGAGTCAAAGAACCTGGGTTGGAGTTTGAAAAAGGAGGGAATAGTGTAAAAGATGTGCATTGATTAGGTTGCCTGCCTTACAAGCGTCAGCTGTAGGGAATTTCCCTTTAGCTCAGCGGTAGAGCATCAGGCTAGAGAGCCAAGGGTTGCGGGTTCAAGCCCCAGCATGGCACTATCTTTATCACTGTTCCTCATCCTACTACAAATTCACAGCATACATTGTATGTGTATTTCTGGCATTTGAAACGCACACCCATGTGGGCTAGGGTTAAACAGGTTGGACACAACGGCACATATGGGTAATACATATATGTAGTTACCCATTTCAGTAATCATTTTATTACTGAAATGGATAATAAAGTGAAATGAAAACACACAAAATTCTTTTATTTTTACACATTATGAACAAAAAAGGGCGTCAATCTTTTAACATAATCAAATAAAAAATACAATGAGGTACAGTTGTGTACAAAAATATGTAAATTCAGTTGTCTTAATTTTTGTGAAAAATGACACATTGTATCACCTCCATTGCTTATTATAAAGTGTGTTGTAGAGTAGCTATAAATAGAACACATATCAGAATTGATAAATTTTTGTGATGTTTCTTCATTGTGTTATTTATTTGATTTAGTTGACAGAAAGACGACCTTTTTGCTCTAAGTGTTGAAAAGAACTTGGTGTGTTTTTATTTCACTTTATTCCCTCTTTCAGTAATAAAAATGTTACTCAAATGGGTTACTGTTACGCAGATGCAGGATTATTACCCATATGCGTCGTTGTGCCCAACCTGCTAAAGGATTGGGAAAACAGCTGTAAAATACAAATGTAGATGTTTCTGATATATCTGAGAAATTCGCCAACAACTTTTATTATAAAAATAGGGTAACCTGGATGATTTTTCATTTAAAGTTTCATAAAAGTGCATCGACAATACGCACGCGTTTACTCAAATAAGGAAGGATCTAACTTATACCACAAGGGGCGCACCTGTCAAAAATGTTTCAAGTGTTAAATCACTAATTCAAAGGGAATGAACGACAATATGTCAACAATTTATAAATTTTATGAATGTTGAATGAAAACCAGTCACATCAAATATGATACTTACATAATTGCGGTGTAAATCTGTCAGGATAAGTTCAGAACGACAAACAGAAACTAATCTGCCGCGTCGACAACCTCCATATTAACAATTTACATATTTTGCAAACCAAAAATATATATTTATATGTAAACGAATTATACTATTTAACCCGGTAAAAATACAATTATTCCGAGTTATTATTAAAATATATTTTGCTATATAGAAACTTACTAAATATATTGATTTTGTCTAGATTACGCATATTAAAACAATTTTAGTACAAATTGTTTTCCGTATAACATTTTGTAAAATAAATTTACTTTCGGTTGCTCTCGGGTTTTATCAAAATTTCTAGACGAAAATCGCAAGCTTCCGGAAAAACACGTGCATGTCAATTTTATAAACATAACAGGTTTGTAAAAAAGTTTTGTAAGTGTTAGCAACTGTCTTTAAGACTAACGTTGCACCGTATTAATTCCCAAACAGCTTAATTTATTTAACTGAACATACGACCTGTTTATAACAATTTCTTCCGATTAAGTGCCCAACTAAGGAAATGTTTCTCAACCTTTATAAATCCTTGGTACGTCCATACCTTGAAATTAATGTCACCACATGGTCACCTATGCTGAAAAAAGACCAACTCTCCTTAGAGAATGTTCAAAGAAGGGCAACCAAACTAGTTCCATCCCTTAAAGATCTCTCGTACCCTCATGAGCGTATCCGTCGGCTAGGGCTACCATCACAGGTCCAGTACACTCTGCCGATTGAGCTATATAGCTGTAAAGACCTATAATAGCTCTATTGACCTATCTGAAATAGGTCTTTTGAGCTATTTTCAAGTGATTTTCTTTTTTAAAAGATTACGAAATAAAGTCGCTTTTAAAAGAATGTAAAAAAATCGGAAATTTTACATTTATGAAAAATGGAAATAAACATCTAACTGTATGCTCTTTGTAGTCAACATAACCATAAACCTTATTGTTTTATGCGACTTTGCTTTATTTTAATGAAATTTGAAATCTGAGAAAATATAGCTCAATACAGCTATAATTTATAGGTGTATATAGCTATATAGGTCTTTATAGCTATAGCTAAATCGGCAGAGTGTACTGGACCTGCATCACTTGAATACAGAAGACTAAGATCTGGCATGGTAGAAATCTATAAGCTGATAATATAAACAGCATAGATATAACCAACCAACAAATCACCCCTGCCTTCGACAACCTCAATACGAGGGGAAACTAAAAAAAAATGGGAAAAAATCGGTTTAAGAACAACTTTAGGGGACATGCTTTTAAAAATAGAATTGTAAATATTTAGAATCAACTCCCTACAATTGTGGTGGATTCCCCAACCTTAAATGTTTTTAAATCTAGACTCAATAAACATTTGGTCAAACATCCAATCAAGTTTTTACCATCGTGCATCGTCGACCACCATGAACCAACTTCATTTACCTGGCCATTTTCATTTACGTTCCAAATGGTTGATCTAGGCTATTACATTCGCGTATCCCGGTTGAAACGGTACGCGTGGCGCAGAAATATTCCACGACATTTGACCATTCTATAATCGGAGCTAAAAATGCACAGTTTCGGAAAATAAAAAAAAACAATGTATCAAGAATAGTACTCTATGCCCTTCTTTCATGTGTTCACTGAATTATATAACGTATCTTAAAAACTACATGTGTCTTGAGTCTCGAAATTGTTTTAGAAAGAAATAACACAACTACCAATTATAGTCAGCTTTTTAGTTTTGGTCAGATACGTATACGTATGGACTCCTCAATCTACACATGCCAAATTTTCGGTTCAACGGTTTCAACTGGATATATGCAAATGTACCCCTAGAGTTGTTCGTGTATGAAATAGGACGGATCTTATGATTTGATGTTGTTTTCTGGCGAGCCTTAGGAATCACTTTTCATGGTATGACTTTGAATAATAGACGAACCATAAACAATCAGGCCAAGGTTCGGCACAGCCACAATCCCATTAAAAATCATTCATTTGGGTAAAGGTTACTTTTAACATTATAACAATTTTACAACAAGGGTTAGAAAGTTAAACACAAAATTCTTCAAAGAATTAGGAACAAAGACAGTGTCTTACATGTGTAGCGGAATTCGATGGGATCAATAATTGGTATATGTAGCTCAATTGGTTTGAGTGTCTGTCTAGACTTCTGAGGGCCCAGGTTTGAATTCTGGTTCGCCATGCATTATTTCTGCTCCTGCTACATCATGGGCAATCAATGAAATATTCCCACGGAAGGTGGTATAGCTTGGTCTTGCATTTTTTCAGAGTTAAAGACTTAGTTCAACATAAAGAAGGGAGGAATGTAGCGGAATAGGACCGGTTGTATCTCTTGCGACCTGTTAGCTTAACTGGTTAGAGTGTTTGTCTAGAGTCCAGAGGGTCCCAAGTTTGAATCCTGGTTTGGCCATATATTTTTCTGCTCCTGTTACATATATATATGCAACCTAATCAGATAAATAAAAACATATGGTACAATATTATAAAAGAAATTGGATTATTTCTGATGTCTTATAGTTTTTGTTTTTACTTCCTTAACATATAGTGTGGGGTATAGTAGCTATCAATAGAACATAGACAATTTTCTTGTTCACCTGTCATATTTGCACTGTATGCTAACAAGGACTATGTGTTGTAGTCGGTGGAGAACAAAGTCATTGTAATGGTTTGTCATTTTAACAATGATTGCATGTACATTATGTATTTGTAAGGTCTGATATATTTCAACAAGAGAGTCAAATATTTAAGTTTGATTTTATTCTTCCAGAAATTCAGTTGCAATGGGAAAAACAAAGCAAAAGAAAAAGGATTTTCAGAAAGTGAAACTTAAGGTTGGCAAGCAGTTAAAAAAGGCTGACAATGTTACTACAGGTAGTTTCCAGACCAGATCTATTCAGGTGATACAACGACTCAAGTCCAACGACTCTCAACCTAGCACGAAACGAAACCTAAACATAAAGGTACAGTATTGTCGCATTTAATTTGACTAAAAAAATACATTTCTGGTTACCAGACAAACCATGATCTATTTTCTTTGATCCAATTATTACACAATTTTTCTGATATTTTGCCCAGAAACCTAAGAACCCAACTATGTTTTGGCTGTACTAAACTACCAAATATACCGTAAGTACGTAGCTAAAAAACAATTAAACAGTGTTGAAGTCTTTGCTCCTTACAATAAGTATATGACGGATGCCACATAAAAACACTGTTATTGATCCCACAAGATGATTTTGACACTTAATTACTGGATGCATTGGTTTAATATGGACATTGGGATTGATATCGATGGTGAATGGTCGACAGATTTGATGCTTACCTTAAAATAGCACTGCAATATGATACAGATATCTCATGTTACAATACATATCGCGGTACGATGCTTACAATTTGAAACGCATCAACAAACATTTACTTAAAAGGGCAAAGATTTTATTGAGTTTTGTCATAGACTTCAATAGTAAATACTATCGAAATACATTTTTGTATAATTTTAGTGTTTTGGGGTATGACTACACAGTGGACCACATCTTCACTGAAGAATTTAAAAAAATTATGTACACTTTTTAGAGTTTGATAAAAATTGATTGAAAATTGAAGTACTGTTAGTGTATCGCGATACAGGCATTCAAAACGTTTTGACAGTATTGCGTTACAATAAGATATATCGTTGCAGCTCTACCTGAAACTCATCTTTTTGTTGACAGTGGAAATACCTGAAATTGATCAAAAATATCAAATTAAGGTTCTGTTTGACTACACTACTGCTGTAGTTATAATTAATTTTGTATGGGATTCATGGTGTTTCAGTGACTTATACATTAACAAAAATTATCTACAGAATATAAAAATGTTTGGATTACTTTTGCAGGAGCTGTTGACACAGTGCCAACACTACAGCATATCTGTCCGCCACGATGCCCTGACGGGAATGCGTGAACTCTTGACGACATATCCTGACCTTGTCAGGTCACACCTGGCGGTGGTTTTGGAGCGTGCCGCGTCGATGTTCTCCGATAAGGACGCTGCCGTGCGACAAGCTGACATCAAACTTCTAAAAACAATCTTACCACGTATATCTGAGCGTCAGATTTCTTCTTTTTTCCCGATAATAAGTGCCCACTTGTGTTGCTCCATGAGCCATATTTATGATGATATACAGGCAGACTCTTTGAAGATACTTGATCTTTTTCTTGATAACTTCCCTCAGCTGGTCATAGGGAGTTCCAACCAGCTGCTTCCTAATTTCATTGAGCAGATTTCTTCTTCTAAAACTACGGGTGATAAAAAGAGAACTCTCAATGTCAATCCAAACAGAAAAACAACATCGCAAAAATGGAGAAGCACGGTTTTAGAAAGACTGTACAGACTTTTATCAGCTGTTATGAAGTATCAGTTTATTGGCCAAACATCTGCTGGTCAAGGTTCTGATGACTCAGAAAATGGGACGTCCACGTCCGGTACATTCAAGTGGGAGAGGGACAGTGATGCTGGTCATCTACCAATACCTCAAACATTTCTATCTAGGCTCGACTCAAGTGGCATGCTCATCAGGTAAGGAAATGGTTTATCCTGTCAGATAAATAGAGGATTTTACATGATGACAATATGTCATATTGGATTTATTAAAAAAGTTCAATTATTTGATATGACACGAGCCTTTAAGAGTAATTAGAAAAAAAATGTTTTTAATAATTATCAGTTTTAAATGCAATGAGAATTATAATGACAAAATAAACGTTTCAAATTCATTTAGAATAGCAGTAAATATATCGTGTGGTATTGTAAATAAAACTAGTACCCTTAGTGGCATAGGAATATGATCTCACGGTTTTGACCAATCGCAGCACATTTAGGTTTTATTACAGGTGTGTATACCATATTAATGATAATTACTATTTTGGCATATGAACAAAAAATATCTCAAAAAAATTAAGATAGCAGCATGTATTTAATATGCTGGTCCTGTTTACAGATCTAATCGGATATCAAAAAAGAGATCCACTGAGGAAGGGTATGCTCTAACAGGGGAAGGAGGCATGGAGAAGTTTGTGCAGGTGCTGGTCCCCCTTCTGTTGGAATGCTGGGTGGAGGCAGAGGGCTCGCATCACATATCTAGTAAAAAGGGTAAGGATATATACAATTGTATTGTAACAGGAAAGAGAGTAGTGTGCTTCCATCATGGATTAAACTGCAACCAAGGGGTTCCAAGTCCGCCGCTCTACCGATGGAGCTAAAGGGAAATTCCCTCCAGAGAAAAGCTATAAGGTGACCGAAATCCTCTTCTGTAAAATTAAGATCGGCCACACTACTCCGGATCCCCCTGCTTTAAATGTGGTCGTCCTCATGCACCACAATAACCCAAGTTCTAATCCCTGTCACCACAGGTCACAGGTATTGTCTGTTTGGGGAGGGGGGGCAAAATGAAACACTTTCTATTCATGTTAGAAAATAAATTTGTTATGGGAAAAGGTGATTTCAAACATTTATAGATTTGACATTAAATCTTAATTGACGATCAATCATATTATTTAACTGATTACTTGAGTTTTATGGGGACTTAAGCTGAAGGGTTCAGAACATCACCATAGATGGGAGACTGTTATATTTCTACTAGAGTTACTAGATAAGAAACCAGTGGCTTTTTATTTCTTCTGTTGAGAATGATATTATTGTAGGTTCCTGTTTTTATCGAGTAGAATTGTCTAAATGCCTGTCATAAGTTTATACTCTTCTCTGTTTTACAGGTCACAGCAACCTTATTTCCCAGGAATCCCTGGGTATCCGAGGTAGTGTCCTACAGGTGATACAGTTGCTATGGCAATGTGTAGATAAAAACAACCCATCATTGGTAAGTAATGGTCAGCTTGGTATGATATGGAAAACTCTAAACCATCAAGAGTGTTCCAAAATGTACGTTGCAATAAATTGGCTTTATAATGATAAATTTAGCTCACCCTGGCCCCAGTATTGATTAAATGAAGAACTTAATACAAGTGATAATCTTGATGCAATGTCCAAGAGATGCTATTATCAGGCTAGTTCAAAAATGAATATGGCTTTGGCCCCTGATTGGCCAAGACATCCCCCTCCCCAACTTCAGCGACTCCACCACCACCCCCAGTTTTAACCAAACAGGTTGCAAATGATCTTGCTGTGACCCCGACTATTCAGAAATATTTTTCGGTTGATTAAATATCCAAGATAATGGCTTTGATTCTGTATACTGAGAACCTAGATGTGAAAAGTTTACTTAATGAACTTCTTATGCACGATTTAATGTTCAATAACCAGTGAAAGATTCAGGTCTTTTTTTAGGCTACTTGAACAATTTCAACCTCAGAACAGTGATGGGAAATCTAGAAGTGAAGCAATATGAAAGATCATGAAATATTGCCAGATATTCTTTGTCATTTCATTATCAAACCTTTCTTATAATAATATAAAAATTTTGCTTGACATTTTGTCAAAGTTTAATAAGTTCTTATATGCCCGTCAAATTTGATGGAAGTATTATGGTATGGGGTCGTCCGGCGTAAACTTTTGTTTGTCCGGCAATCTCCTTCTACATTTTTCGACCGATCTCTTTGAAACTTGGTATACATTATAATCATGATATGAAGTTGTGTCTCCCTTAAAAGAATTTTGATTTGACGATTTTTGCAAAAGTTATTGCCCTTTGTTCATTTCAGTATTTGATTTTTTGTCCGGAGATTTTCTTCTTCATTTTTTATAGCATGTCAGCTAACACTCTTAGAATGATGCAGATCTTATTTCAATGTAAGAAAGTATATAACACTATATGGCTTTCGACGGGCGTATATTGTTCCATCCCGCGGTACTCTTGTTTAACTGGCGATGTTGTATATTGTGCTGCTGCAAGTAGTAGTAGAATAATTGCTTCTCCCTGTCCTCATTGAAAGAGGAGTTGGAGAAGGCAGTCATTTCACTTCATGAAATCAGAAATTCAGTTCTGTCCAGTAACCTGGTAGTGTGTTTTTGCTGTAGATGGCTACACTACAAAAGAAATACCTGGCAGACTTCAGGAGCCAATTCATGCAGCATTTCCCCTACGCTGTCCACCAACCAGCTGAGAGGACGGACAAAGTGAGGAAACCAAAGCAACCCTCAGAAATACAGGTAAAAACATCACGTTTTCTGATCAAAAGTAAAAGTAAAAACATCTTATTGGCCAAGTAAAGTATTGAATCAATCTGTTGAGTGTCATTTTTGTCGTTGAAAACAGAATTTTAGTCAGTCGAGGAAACCGGATTCTTGTCTAATAAATCTGACATAAGTATGTACCATATCTTCAATTTAATGAATAATTTAATAATATAGCTTATAGACTACAGTGTCATCATATACTGCCAACATTTTGTAGGAATATTGCCCCCTCTCAGTATTCCCTCTGATATACCTGATACATACTGTACTATGTTGTGGATCAGTATTGGGGGTATGACAGTTATATCAAAACATATTTAAGGAGAGGTTACTGTTTATATGAAGAACCAAAGTTTAGTTTAGTTTAAACAGTATTTATTCAATATTCAAACATGTTAATTACATACATATAATTGCACAGGAATTGGAAAACAAGCTTCTAAAAAGCTTATTTTAATTCTTCTCCAGAGTTCAGTGGAATGGGGATCATTGAAGCTCAAAAAATGTTAGAATTTACAAACTATCAGTTAGTGATGGTTAAAATGCCCGAGGAATATCATGTAATATATATTTTAATATTTCACTTGTGCAAAAATTACTGTGAATGCAGTATGGATAATGTACTGTATAGCGCTTTAAATTTGCGGGGTTAATATTTCGCGGTTTCGTATTCAGTACATATTCGCGGGGGTTAATTTCACTGTGCTCACTTATCCAATGTGTTGTGTAAAGTATTTTGAATGTCATCATTTAAGGGTAAAACCTCGAAATACAGTAAAGCTGTTTGAAAACACTGATCCCAAGCGACGTCATCCGCCAGTGACTTCACTTGAAAGAAAGTACCTTTGTAGGAGTAAACTGTAATCAATTATGTTGTGGCCACTTATATGTAAGTGGTTTTTAGCTCACCTGGTCCAAAGGACCATGGTGAGCTTATGCCATACTGCAGCATGCCATACCACAGCGTCCGGCGTCCGTCCGTCTGTCCATCGTCCGTCAGTCAACTTTTCCTTTAAAACGCTACTAGTCCTGAACGGCCAAGTAGATTTTGACTAAATTTGGTCTGGAGCATCCTTAGGCCAAGGGGACTCAATTTTGTATAGATGGTTGGTCTGTAGCATCCTTGAGTGAAGGGGAACCAATTTTATATAAACCGTGGGTCTGGGCCCCCAGGGGCCTGAGGGGCGGGGCCCAATAGGAGAAACATAGCAAATTATTCTTTAAAATCCCTCTTCTTCTGTAGGAATGAAAGGATTTGGTCCATATTTGGTGGGAGCATCCTTGGGTGAAGGGGAACCAATTTTGTATAAACGGTGGGTGTGGCCTCCCTGGGACCTCAGGGGCGGGGGCCCAATAGGGGAAATGGAGGTAAAACCTTTAAAATCCTTCTTCTACCGTAAGGATTAAGGGATTTTATCCTAATTTAGCCTGGAGTACCTTGGGCATAAGGGACTCAATTTCGTATAAACAGTGAGTACGGCACCCCTGGGGGCGGAAGGGGAGGGGCCAATAGGGGAAACATAGCAAATTCTTCAAAATCCTTCTTCTTCTGTAGGAATGACAGGATTTATTCCATATTTGGTATAAAGCATCCTCAGTTGAAGGGGAACCAATTGTGTATAAATGGTGTGTCTAACCCCCCCTGGAGGCAGAGAGGCGGGGCACAAGGGGACTCAATTTTGTATAAATGGTGGGTGTGGTCTCCCAGGGGGCAGAAGGGCAGGGCCCAATAGGAGAAATAGAGGTAAAACCTTTAAAATCCTTCTTCAACCATCGGGATTAAGGGATTTTATCCTTATTTGGTCCTTATTTGGTCTGGAGCATCCTTTGGCCAAGGGGACTCAATTTTGTATAAACGGTGGGTATGACCCCCCCCCCCCCCCCCCAGTTGAATAATTACAAGTCGATCATATGAATTAACATATAACCGAATATGAGAACGTGTGACTCCATCAGTTGTGTAATGATGCAAAAACTAGATCAACAGTAATTTAAATGAACAAGCAAATTCATTCAGCAAAAATTTCAGATTAAATAACCCACCACAGACCATTATCGCAACATTTCATTTCCGGTTAGAGGGAGTTGCTTATATTATTTCTACAAATTCCGGTCTTGTATTACTCAAAGGTATAAATTATTTTTCTTTCAAGAAAGAACAGATTCGTAGGATTACTCTTCCGGCATCAAGATGGAAAATAATTTTTCAAAACTTTGAAACGGATCCTCATCCTACCTTTTCATCGTTATTTGTCAAAATGAATGAAATATATAATAAAAATATCATGTCATTTAACTCGTTTGGCACATCACTGTAGCTAAAGCGTTTAAAACCAGGTGTCGGAAAACGTACCCCGATAGCTAGCCTAGGCCTATAGTGACATTAGTGGTGATGTACATGTGGGCATTGGGCAACGATAGATTCTTAGAGCGGTTTATTGCGTCAAATTTTCCTTTAAACAACTTCTTCTGAAGAACAAACAGGTGTAGAGCCATGATATTTGACTGAAAGCTTCGTTGGTAGGAGTCTGACAAAGTTTGAGAACGAAAATGACCTTGACCTACTTTCAAGGTCACAGGTGTCAAATGTGTCAAACACTTAAAACAACTTCTTCTGAAGAACTAAAAGGTATAGATTCTTCATATTTGGCTGGTGGCTTCCTTGAGCCTGACAAAGTTTCAGAATGAAAAATGACCTTGACCTACATTCAAGGTCACAGGTGTCAAATATGTCACACGCTTCAAACGACTTCTTCTGAAGAACTAAAAGGTATAGATTCTTCATATTTGGCTGGTGGCTTCTTGGGATGGAGCCCAACAAAGTTTGCAAATTAAAATGACCTCAACCTGTTTTAAAGGTCACAGAGGTCAACAACATTTCAAAGGATTTGTTCTGAAGAACCAAAATGAATGGATTTAGCTGGTAGTTTTTTGGGATAGAGCTAACAAAAGTTGAGAATGAAAATGACATTGACTTACTTACAAGGTCACAGGAAAAAACATGTCATACAACTTCTGAAGAAGAACCAAAAAGCAGAGAATCTTCAATCTTATAATAATATTTGGTTGGTAGTTTAACAGATGGAGCCGACAAAGTTTGCGAGGGAAATATTTGTAGTGCAATATAATATTTAATGAGAATATTTTGCTATAATTGCTTAAATATTCAGGTGAGCGATACCTCTGGTTTTCCCCCGTTTTCAATGTGAATTCTGATTCTATCTCATACATGCCAGAACTCACGGCGTGAGGCAACATCTCACGGATTTTCACCTCCGGTAAAGTCTCACGACGTGGGACATGAATTTAAGGAAAGTCCGCAAACCCTCACATTTTTTAATGATCGATCGGTGAACCATTTTCCTGTTGTTGTTGACTCAAAGTCTTACGAGATTCCACAATGTTTTCAGCGATAAATCACGAGAGCTCTCGAGTAGCGGTCATGTGATTGGTCATGTGATCGAAGAGCTCTTCCAATAACTTCCAGACAATTTAGCTGGTTGAAATTGTGAGTTGATTTCAGTGTCTTTTACAATAAGTAATCTATCAGAACAATTAAAATAAGTTCATATTATAGATTTAGTGTGATCCTTTCTTATTGTTGCCATAAATTGCCGTGATACTACAGAATGCTTGACATTCTTAGTCTTAACCACTATGCGACGGTGTCGGCTTCAGCATCAAAATTTCCTGTGAAGTTGGTACCTATGAAATACACCATTTCTGCTAAACCAACAGATAACCACAACAACATAAAACAGTTAACGTATTTACTATATACCAAAGCTATATACAGTAGTTATTAACATATTTACATAGTCAAACAACCCAAAATTACCTGACGACAGACTATTGTGTCAATCTCCATTTGCAGTGCGCTTGAAAGAGAACTAAATTTGGGTCCGGTGGCTGAGACTCCGGACACCAGACTATAACCTACAAAACGGAACATGTAATTTTCCTATAATTACCATTACAATGTACATCTTTGGAACTAATAACATATAAACACTACTTTTAACTTATATAACAGTAGAATTAGCACAAAACATGTTTTCTGTCATGTTTGTAAGGTTAGTTCATTGCTAGAAACTTTGATAAATACAATGCTCGGCTAAGTGTTTCTTTACAAATATAATTTCACTACGAAAGTAAAGAGAACGACCGGTAAATATATAAGGGGCATGTCATGAAGAAGATGGAAAAAGTCTGTTCTGAATGCTGAGATATGTAATTTAAAAGTTCAAATACTGAACACAGTTTTTCTGCACTTTCACAGCTGATTATTTCTGTCCTCTTGTTAAATGCATGTTTCAACATTCTGTTACATTATCAAGAAGTTCAAATGTAAATGAACATAGACAACTATTATCCTTATTTTTACAAACCCATCCAAATACATAGTTCAAAGTTTAAACTGAACATCAGTAGTACTGTGGCTGCTGTGAATAGTGGCCTGTCCAACTAAATTTCGAAAATTAAAGTAAAATCTGCTTCTTCAGTATATCTCAACTATGTGATATTTTGTTTTGTTAATTTTGTGCTATTAAATGTATATAATCATATTCAATGTATATACAAAAAAAAACTGCAAAATCAAAACAAAGTTCCTTACTTAAAGATTTTATGCTTTATTTCATTAATTTAATTGAGTAAGATAGTCTTTTTGCCGTGAAAAATGCCGCGAATAAAACCTCCCTTAATTATTTTCATCTCAATTCCCTTAAAATGATTGTAAAACTCACAGATTTGTTTCCAAGAATTCTGGCATGTATGCTATCTGAGGTCGAAAATTAATTATTTATAGAGAAAAAGTTGTTGCATGATCATACATTCCAAGTCAACATTATGTGAAAACATGAAGTTTTGAAACATTACGATTTAAAAAATATTTTTGCCATGTGATCCTATTTACTTTAAGTAGGTTCTCCTTCCTCAGTTATTCATCCTGACCCGTCATTTTGACATATTTG